AAAATTCGTCAGCATGTAGATGCTCCATATAGAGATATTCTTATTATTATTTATATCATTTAACGTTTTTTTTTGTATTTATTTATTTTATTGAATTTGGTGTAACAATAAAAATAGGGTTTGCAAATCTATTTTTAGATTTTATGCAAATTAATTTAAAAGGTTTTTCATTGCGCGATCACACATTCTTTTACTAAAAAAATATGGTCTAATATTTTCACCAATTATAATCCTTATGTTATTGGTTGATATTAAGTAAAAAACTCAATTTTGGTCAGAAGTGGTGAAAACCCGATTTTGCTAGAAAACCCCCCATATGTCACTTATAATAAAATTCTCTCGATATTATGGATAATGATGATTCTTGCCTTTTTTGGATAGCCTAATTTTATAATAATAAGCGTATAATAAATAAGCGTAATGATGTATTATTAATATTAAATATTAACAACATTTTAATCGAACATATTGTTAACTATTTCTTGGCAATGGCACTTGTATATAATGTCATTTTTTTTATTTCTTTAAATGCTGACGAATTTATTATGAAATGACGGAACAAGAAATTGTAAACATAGTGTTGGGGAAATCTGAAGTTGAAGATAATGAGGGTGTTGATAAGATAAGCGAGCCAATTGTAACAAATACAGAAGCTATAAATGGTTGAAAATGCGCTTAAATATATACAACAAAAATATTTAGAAGTTGATCCTCAAATAATTAAAAATATATAAATATATTGAAGTTGAAAAGAGAAAATTTCTTATAGAAGCACCCAAGAAGCAAAATAATGTTGCATTGATGAATTTATGGGTTGACAATGATATTATTATTATTATTATGTTATATTCTGTTTTTTTATGTATATACAAAATAAAAAAAATTTTTTTGTACACATTTAATTTGTATCACATGATTTGATCATAAGTTTCGATTTAGCGGATCTCTTGATTTAACGGATAAATTTTCTGGAAAAAAATATCTGTTAAATCGAGACTCACTGTGTACCTTCATGAAGGCACAAAATTTTTCCTCTTCGTTTTTTTGCATTTTTATGTTTTTAAGATTAAAAAAAAATTTGACAATCTTGATTTTTATAAATTCGATTTTAATTACCAAAAAATTTTTTAATTTTATTATTAATTATCTATGCTAGCCAAAATTACAAAATTTTGTATTCATATTCTAGTTAATCTAGCTATAAATTGATATAAATTTTTATTTTTATTATTATTGATATTGCGATTTTTGTCAAATTTCGGATTATTTTAATTAAAATTTTTCTAGATGTTTTGAGAGTATCAAAATTTACATGCATATTCATCAAAACCTAAGCTACATTTTGATAAAATTTTATGTGTAGTTATTATGTGTGTTTTTGTATAATTAGTAAAAACAGATGTCCAGATACTTTTGTCCAGGGAGTGAGCACCAAGGTTATAATTCTGTGTATCAATTGAGGTACTTTAAAAATGTGCTGATCCTACAGTGTGTGTCACAATAAATCATCAACTCCAACTACTTGATTTCATTCACCATCCAAAAAAATCATACAAAAATCAAATTTTATTGAAGATCTTTTACAAAAACAAAATTTATAATTTTTATATATACACAAAGTATTTTAAATCAATGTCCCTAAATCATTAGAAAAATTTAAAAGAATATTAAATTATATATATATATATATATATATATATTAGTTGCAGGACATTGCAAATCAAATGTCATTCAATATAAACATTACATGAATAAAATTATTATCATCCACTTCGAAAAAAAAAATCTCTGTTTTTCATATAGCAAGCAATTTTCAACCATGATAAAAATTTTAAAGCCAGACTAGAACTTTCTAACAACAGTTAAAAGAAAAGGTTAGCTTAAATATTGGTTATTCTATGCTAGGTCAGAAGCGATTCTTTTCTTCACACTTATTAAGATTTTCTTCCAACTAGTATGCAGACTAAAACAAATTCAGCAGCAACAATTGAGCCAAAGTGTTCCCTACAAAGTCACTTATAACTACTTGAAAGGTTGTGTTAGAAAAATTTTGACTTTAATTATAAGAGACTGATTTATAATTATTTATAGGTTATTAATTTATTATAATATTAATTGATGAAATGAAACTATCATAGCAACACTATAATAGAAATGTTTAAAAGTTAAGTAGCCTATTACTAGCTTGTATATAAAAACAAATCTTGGTTTTTACAAGTATAATCTGTGCTTATTATTAATATATAAAATTGTTACACAATCACTTAGATCTTATATACATCGGAATTAATGAGAGTGAATATTAATAATATAATAAACACCTTAGTTTTTACAAGTATAATCTATGCTTATTATTAATATTATTATTAATATATTGTTATGCGATCATCTAGATCTTATATACATTGGAATTAATGAGAGTGAATATAATAAACAAACCTTAGTTTTTACAAGTATAATCTGTGCGTTCTTGTCCAACTTGTAAGGAGACTGATTATTCACATTCTTCAAGCAACCTTTGTAAATTTCAAAAACATTGTGCATCCAAATCTGTTCAAGAAAAAAACACAAAATACAAACAATGCACAGTAAAAACTGGACTTGGAGGATTCCTTAAAGATAAAGATCTTGAGCCTGCTAACCAAACAGCACTTTATCACATGACCATTGGTGATCAATTTCCTTTCAACACAAGTGAAGGTGCTTTCAAGTATATGAGGCAATGTTTCCAAGCTGTAACTACATCCCAAAACACCCCTGACACCACCAATGAACCCATCATAAATAATATTCGAGATACCCTCTATACACAATATTGACCTCAAGGAATGAGTTGGACAAATAAAAATCATTAGTACAACTTCTCTCCTCTGCTGCATGACAATATGTTATAAATTGTCAGAACCACATAACAACAAATCTCGATAACTGACTTAAAAGATGGATAAAATATAAATTATTTAAGATTCATCAATTTCCTTTACCCAAAAAACACATCAATACCATTATAAACCATTTCATCACTAACTTGAAAAATCAAGATCTCCCTTCCCTCCCTTCAAACATTATTGATAAACTCTCTACATCACATCCACAATACCTAATTTACTTTACTACCCACATTCAATATATTCATTTGAAAGTGCAACAGACATTATTCCAAAATCAAGCTCTTGATGATGTGTCTGTAAAAGCATCCTGGTGGTCATATCTTTCAGGTCTTCATAAAATCCTGTGCACCTTTACCAAACATAACAGGGAACATGGTCTCCATCTCTTCACACTTCTGCCTGAATACTCTTTCCAACAAAAGTACATATTAGTTGATACTGATGCTTTATATTATATGTACAAATCAATTGAAAAAGTAGGAGTAACAACCATTCAAAGATTCAGAACTGAAAAGGAAATTTGGTGGATGGAAGCATTTAATATTAATAAAGTCACCACCCAAAATCGAATCTTTGCTTACTCCATACAAACTGATGGTCTTGCAGTATCAGTTGGTCTGCAGAAGAAAGTTGATGATTATAAAGAGGAAGTTGATGGAGAAGGATCAAATATTGATTTGAATGGATGCAAATTATTTGGACTGGATCCTGGAAGAAAAGATCTGTTTGTAGCAGTGAGTTCAGATGAAAAAGTTGTGAGTTATTCCAACAAGGAGTACTGGAACTTAGCAGGGTTTGTTCATGCTTGTAAAAAATGTAAGTTGTGGTTGGAAAAAAATCAATATCTTCAAGCTGCTATTCAAGGTGAGCTATACTTTGTTAATTTAATTTGCTGTTAAAAAAGATATCATTGAATAATATTACTTAGATACCTTTCGCCTAATACTAATACAAAACCTAGATATTCCAACCTCTGCTGTCACTAATGTCTATGGATATGGCTCTTACCTTGCTTACACTCTGTTTTACCTTGATATAATACTTGATTTTTATGGTGAATGTCACTGGTGTCAGTTGTGATAGAAATCTTTTATTAATAAGCAGAAGGCACCTGATATTCTGTGCAAGAGAATAACAAATAATAATGGTAACAGTACAGTTGTTGCATTGGTGATAGTAAATTCTCATCAACATCACTTGGGCATGCTCCAGGCCCTGTAAAAGAATTTCACCAAGAGTTTTCTAGACACTGCAAGGTGGTGAACATTGATGAATTCCGTACTTCCTCAGTCTGTTCTTTGTGTAATGGGTGGTTTGATAAGCATCGAAAATTCTGGTTTATCAGAATCTGCAAATCAGTCTGTCTGACACATTGGAATTGTGATGTTAATGCTGCCCATAACACAAGGAACATTTTTTTGCACACAAACACTTATGGAGAGATCTGATCCATTTATAAGGGGGACTTACTGACCTTTCTGCTGCCATTTTAACTGTGGCAGGATATGTCTAGCTGGCAGCAGCAATGATGACTTTCTATGAAGCCACAATTAGCTATAGGGAGGATTTGGATCTTCCTGATTTAGTGTAATAAGGTTTAATTGTTAACCAAGAAAAAAATAATTTCATTAATCATAAGAAGCACCTTGTTTTTTCATTTCATCCTTCCCAAAAAATTGTGTTTAATAAAGTTGAGTTTACTTGGATCCGTATCTGTTCCTGTACATTCTGTACATTCATTCAGCTTGCTGAATATGAGCATGATACGAATAATGAATACTTTCTATGTTTTATTTCCCGTGCTACCCATTTTATTTGACAAATATAAGAAAAACGTAAATCATTCTTTCACACATAACCAAATGAAACAAAAAAATTCCAAGGGAAAAGGCAGTGTTACGAGTTTTAGTCGTTTTTTATTTGTTTTAATAAATATTGCACTGATTTAATTCTGACTTTTTAAACACTGATTCTAGTAAACATTTTCCAAGTGCAAAAGCCAACGGTGGTGGAACTGCATTGCCAATTTGGCGATGCATATCTTTAGTATCATCTCGGTCACTATAAAATATAAATTGATCAGGAAACCCTTGTGCTCTAGCACATTCCCTAACTGTAATAATTCGCCTTTGATTCGGATGTATCACAGTCTATTGTAAAATTCATAAGAAAAAAATTCCCTAATTAATAAATTTTTCTTAAAATTGTAAATTATATGTATATAATTATAATTACCCCTGTCTTCCCCATTGGATTTATATCTGTTAGGGCAGTAAGAAAATGTCCATCGAAATCCAATCTTCCAAACAACCCTTTCCAACCATTATGTCTACTTGCAGCCGAATTAGGATCACTCAGACACCAAGGTTTAAGTTTTTCTGGAAGGTCTATTATAATTATTATTGTTAACATTGAGACCAATGACCTTTCTCTCATATTTTATTAGTGCAAAAAAAGAAAATTTAATATGATTTCAAACTTACTAGAGTGATCAGCACCTGGAAACATTGGTATGCGAACAATACGTTCCACAGTCAATGGATTAAAGGCTCTTGTTACATGATTATATAAAAATTCAGAATCTTTACGACATAGTCTCTGATATTCAGATACTGGTTCAAACACATATTTTGTCTTCATGTCACCGACCCAACCTTTTTCTGGAACTGCTATTTGTTTAAATGGACGAGCAACTTGATCATCATCGTCTTCTTTATAAATAAATTTAGGATTTACAAATTCAAATTTTGGTAAATCAGTGATAGCATCTCCTACAGTTATTGGTGGAAGTGGTGCATGACCATTTGTTCGTTTGTTGTAAGTGAATGATTTACCATTTGGTAATAAAATATTTATGGATCCTTGTTTTCCAAAACATGTTGATATTTGTGGGAAATCAGGTAGATAACAATCTCTTTTTGCTCCCCATATAAATAAACGACGCCTACTTTGTGGTATACCATGATTGCCAGCCTGTTGAACACCGAATCTGGTTTGATATCTAATTATTATATAATATGTAGATATATATTATTTATTATATTTTAAATATCAGTGTAAAGTCATTCAGAGATGCATTTAAAATTTTATTTGATAATTATATTTACCCCAATGCAGTCAATGATCTTAATATGAATTTAATTACGCCCATCTTGATTCCTCCTTTTATCTTAATACCATCTTGCTCTCCTCCTAGACGAAATGAAAGCATTCCACGAACATTCTCTAATAAAAAGTAATCAGGCCTATAAAAATCAACATAACTCAACGCTGTTGCTACAAGACTATTTTTGATATCGTCGGCTTTTTGATAACGATTCACACCACTAAATCCTTGACTAATTATTTTTTTTAAAAAAAAAACAAAAGATTTAGATTTATTTAAACCTATCAAAATAAATAAATAAAATTTTTTCTTTACCAAGGTGGACCACAATAAATAAAATCAACTTCACCAGGTCTTGGCATACTAGGGACTTTTTGTTTCAGAAAATCATATATTTCCTCCGGCCTTTCATTCCTGACATGTTCAGCAATTGTACGTTCAAGTAATAAATTTGCACACTGGTTATAAACAATTGCATCAGGATTATTATTTCTATATGTATATTATTTAGAAATATAAACAAAATAAATCATTAAATTAAAAGTTAATTAATATCACTATATCAAATTAATATATTTATTATATCTTACTTAAAAGTTAAAGCTGCGCTAGGAGCAAATTCTATAGCCCATTTAGTGTTAACAATTCCTGTCATATCCATACCAATTGTTATTCCACCACAGCCTGAGAAGATATCCATTGCTCGTAATTTTCGCTTTTGAGAATTTATACATTCAAAGAAATTTTCCAATTTGTGTTTATGTTTTTCACGTTTGTCTTTACAAATTGAACATGTGGAGAAACACTCAGGCTCCAATTTTAATAAATCTGAATTTTTTGGCGAGTTGATTTTTGATATTTTTTCAACATAAAAACTATCATTTTCTTCTTTATACTTGTCAAGATCTTCAATAGTGTCTAAATGTTGCACCCAACAAACACCCTCAAGATTGTTAATATCACTAATAAATAATTTTTTATTTGTATAATAAAGATGACGACTATCTTTTTTTATCATAGGATATTGAACAATATCTTTATATGTAGCCTCTTCAGGTGATTTAAATTTAGGTTTCGATGAAGAACTACTCAAATCATCAACACGGCCAAGAATATGTACCATCAATTTAATATCATTAGATAAAACTTTAGTGGTATTGTTCTTTTGACTAGATTTAGAATTTGCATTTCTTCCTGTTGAAAATATATTATCGATTGTTACTTGAACACTCGCTGTATCTTCGATAATTTCGATTATTTGACCAATAACATAAGGTAAATCCTTTTCTTCTGGTATAATGTAAATGAAATCATATTGATGATATTCATAGTCTTTATATATAAAGCCCTTATCAAAAGATTTATCAGGTGAAAGCTGTTTGGGATACACGCTGTGTTCTTTTGTAAGATGGCTTTCACATGAGTGACATTCTTCATTATCATCACAATAGATGAATTTCATATTTGGATCTTCGTGTAGTCTGACATCTTCAAAAACAGCATATTCTTTATCATACCAATACCTTTAAAAGGGTTTATCATTAAAACAAAAAATTTATTTATTGATAAATTATTATTCAATTTATTTTATTCATTTAATTATAAAAAATTATATTATTACTCATACCTATAAAAATGGTATTGATTACTTTCGAAGATAAAGGATTCATCTTTGCAAACTTCTAGATATTCAACAAATGCCTTACCAAGGATAGTATCAAGTTTACCATCAACACAAGTGTCCAACAAAAAGATTTCACGATCGCCAGCCAATTCATCAAGGATTGTTTCTTTTCCATGATTGAAGAATCTTGAATGAAACATCTTATTCTTTTTCGAATCCTCATACATGTAAATTACTTTTACAAATTGTGGTTCGTCGGATTCACCATTACGAACATATACCACATCACCAACTTTTATAATTTCACCGTTAATACTAACTGAATTATAGTAAAGTTTTTTTTGTTTATTATTGTTATTATTATTATTAACAATAGCCTCACAATCCCATTTAATACAATGAGTGATTGGTTTGATCATCACTATTGGAATATTATCACATTCTATTTCATCATCAGAAGTCACATCTGCTGCATCTTCTACTTGTTTAATTGTGATCAGTTTTCGTTTAAATAGACCTTTTGTAAGATTTTGTATGAATGGTGTAACGCATGTTTGATTTGTATTAGTCAAAACAGCTGTATTTGGATTTTTTATGGTAATATTTCTTTTTGTTCTAATGTTATCAGCATTAGTCATACCAACTTTTTTTGTTCTTGTATATGTACCATTTGATAGTATCTGAAAAAGTGTATCAAGTAACGGACATTCAAGAATTCCAAATTCTGATTGTTCAGAGATCCAAGCTTGAATTTCTTCAGCAATATAATCAATATTGTTGATTATATCTTTTTCCGTTAATTTAATTTTTATTAATTCATTACCAATCTGACTAGAAGAAGAGGAAGGAGAGGGAGAGGAAGAAGCTGATTCTTTTATAGACTTAATGAATTTCTCATAAGTGATTTCTGAATTAGAAGCCAGCGTTTCAATTGTTAAATTCGCGGCTCTAATTTTTTTATAGATAGGTTCAAAAGTTCTAAGATATTCTTCAGCTGGTTTAAGCAATTTATAAAAGGCAAATTGCGTTCGTATCCAAATTTCGCTATGATTTACAAATATAATGAAGATAAATTTTAAATTTTGTTGTTAGATAAATAAGGTATGATTTTCTTTTTCAAAGAATAAATAAATACCTTTTACTATTTTCAAGTTGTTCGATTTGAAAATGGAATATAGTAGTGGTTCTAAATTGTTGATCAGGAAGTCTTAATTCCTCACTAAGTTCATCTTCAATAAGTTCTTCATCATCTTCATCGACATATATTGCTTTTACTATTCCCGCGGCATGCAATTCCTTCCCTAGATCATCAATTTCCTCAATACTAGCAATTCGATTTTTATTGTTTACATCAAATATTATGAAATTATCAAGTGTACGGCATGGTATAGTATAATTCACGTTATCATAGCCGTCGGGAGGACATCCTTCATTGAATGAATCTTCACCTATAAGTTCTAATTTTTCATGTTCTTCTACCTCATTTTCCATGAAAACATAAAATCTTTTTGTGTTTACTATGTATATATATTGATATTATAATTATAATTATTGACAAATAGCGCATAATATATATATATAAATTTTTATAATAAATTCCAAAGAAAAAACAAAATTCTAACCAGAGCTTTTTTTTTTAGTAGTAACAGGCTGAGAAACTTTTTTACAAGCTCTATTAAAATTGAATTCTTCACTTTCATTATTATCGCTACCTGACTCACTTATTTTACGTTTAATACGACGAGGAACAGGAGTTGAACAATCTACTTCCATTTAAGATATTATAAAAAGAAATAGTAATAATTAAAAAAAAAAATTTTTTTTAAAAGAACGCGTATTTGTATATACATTTTAAAACGTATGGTGGGTGATACAGTCAGGGAATATACCAACCAAATTTGGAATTTCCAAATACTGTAATGATTGATTGATTGGGGTATTCGATCAACAAAAAAGGAAAAGCATAGTGGAAGTTTGTTGTTACACGAAACGTTATACAGAACTCATTGCTTCTGAAACTTCGCCAGTATATAGTTGTTACCTCTCTAAATTGGAGATCAAGTTCAGATCCAATTCAAATCCAGTTTATCACTTACTTTTTATTGCCAGAATGTTTGCCGTGTATTGTAAAGCTACGTTGCACAATATAAAAAATTAGTGTAACATTTCAAATTTCCCATTATGCTAAAAGGAAACAAAAACTTTGCTATATTATTTTTTATATTAAATAAACATTCAAAAATACATTATATGAGCATACTGCAACAAAAAAAGACAAAGTGAACATTAGTGTTATCAAGGATTCAGGGTTCAAAATTTAGTCATTATTATCACAATTGCATTGTAATTATAATTTAACCGTCCACTCCTATATAAAAATAGTTGATATGAAACTCATTTATATAAGATCTACTATGGAACCTAAGAATTATAGCACCATTAGAAGTATTCTAAAAAAAGAACAAGGTAAAAAAATTACTCCTTATATTTTCAAAATAAATGATACTCAGACACTAGAAACTTATCTAAGAAAAGAAAGGATTACTTATGAAATTTACCAAGAATAATAAATGTTGGAAAAAGAAAGCATCATGATGATGCATTATCACCTATTATTATTCTTGTATCTTTCTTGTATTTTACTTGATTAAATCATTAAATAAAAATGAATCATTGAATTCTTATTTCTTATTTCTTAGTTCTCTATATTGTACAACATGTGTGGATATTTGCAATGCAAAAATACATATTAACATCAATAAAGTTATTTTATTTTTTTAAATTTCACATATGTATGGGGTTTATAATAACAGAGCATCATGTGAGAATGTTGGAACTATGATATGACAGAAGTCTAATTATTAATTATTTAAGGTTTAGTTAAGATCTGATCAAATGATTCAATTAATGTTTAGATTTGTTGTATGTGAAATTGAAATATTATGGAGTGGGGTGAAATTCTGATTGGCTAATTTGAATTTCATGTATGTAAATTTGAATTTCACATATGTGAATTGCGAATTCACATAATTTCATTTTCACGTACAACAGATCCATTAATAATTAGTTAAGATTCAATAACCATTTAATAATTACTTATAACTAATTATAAATCGGTTACAAGCAATATATATTTGGATATCAGCCTAATTAATAGATTTTTTTTTGATCATGACAATTAAATTGTTCATGCCAATCACTTTTTCCAAGAATTCTCTCTTTGTATTGATATCATAAAATACTATTGATGATTTGTATAAAGAATAATTTTACTAGAAAAACACAATAAAAGTGGAATCACTAAAAACAATAATTTCTCTATATTAATATTGCCCTTTTAAATGGTTGTTGGCATTTTCTCTGGTTTCATTCAGATATTACAAAAGTCTAGAATAATGGATTTCTGGAAATTTTTTCACAAATGTATGAATTTGGTTTATTGTAACAATCAGAGCATAATGGACACTCATTCCATCCAACAGTCATTTGTATAATAGGCAGGTGGTTACACAGAGCCCGTTGCTTCTGAAACTTCACTAGAATATAGCTGTAGCCTCTCTAAGTCCAGATCATC